AAAAAAAAAAAAAAAAAAAAAAAAAAAAAAAAAAAAAAAAAAAAAAAAAAAAAAAAAAGAGTAAAATAATCCAATGCCATGATCTTTTTCGCAGGCCAATACCATTCGGCACCATCGCCAGCACAGTACCAATCACCACAAGCAGCTTACCCTGGAGCACCCCAATCCTTTGCTCCAGCCGCTCGTGCCTACCAGCCAGGTGCTCCCATCTACCAGCCACAGCCCCAGGCCAGTTACCCTGGCCCACCCCAGAGCTACCAGTCGCAATACTAAACGAAGAAAAAAAAGCAATGATGTGACCACGGAAAGCCGAAGAATAATATGGTTAAGAGAATTGCTATGAATAAGAAAAAGGAAGGAAAGGACGGGCAGGTCTCGCCGTTGCTTTTCTTTAATGAGAGCTCCACGACATATGCAAATACATACTTGACTACAGAGCGTCGATACCTGTACATAATTTAGGCCTATAATAAATTTTTTACTATAAAATTTGTCGCTTGATTTTTAAAAATTACACACCACCTGTACAAGAAAAAGCTCGTATTTTTTTATGGTAGTTTCTTTAATGGATAACTATTGAATTAACTTGAAACTGTATGGAATTAATTAACCGCTTGGAAGGGATTTTAATCGAATCGATTGTACTTTCCCTCAGGATTGGACTGTTCTGAAATTCAAAGTTGTGAAATGCGTTCCAAACAGTGATATGCCAAAAATTGAAATTGAGAAAAAAATGACATTAGAGATGTACATTATATTAAAAATATGTTAAAATAAGTTCAAGTACAATATTCAGTAGACTAAGGAAACGGCAATGTTTCGTTATTGCACATTAAATTTTTTTCATTTTACTACAATAGATGATCATTATTATTTTTTTACCAAACCATTTAATTGTTTTACAATTGATGAGCTATAAAAGGTTTTTTTTTAGCTTATCGTTAAAACTTATGATTACTAAACGACTGTCTTTGCGAATGAATGTGCTGATTTTTATCCCTGCAACTTTTTACCTGCATCCCCACGTATTTGACTAGTGTTACCCCAGTAGGTATTTATTGAAGAAAAAAAAAGATAAATTAAAGAAATTTGAACATCTTCAGAACAGCACTGGGGTAAGTCTTTTATGATTTTAACACACGATACTAATTAATCATACTAAAGACCACCTCATTTTTTTCTTTAAAAAATCCCAATTTAATGCTCCAAATAACAGTAAGAAAACAGTATAAAAAACCATCTTTTAATAACAGTAAAACTTATGCACGTGTGAGGTTATTGTTAGCACAGATGTTATTTGAACAGCCTAATCACGTCAAATATTTTTCAAAAAAGAAAAAACTCCTGCATGATTTCTCAACCAATTTTATTATGAGTAATCAATATTCAACTTTCTTTATTGCATATTAACACTAAATGTTGGTATCGCAAAGAAGTGAGATGAATAGCTACTATTCAAGATAGAAATTCAAAGAAAATTTAATGTTTAAGTACAAAAATATCTCTAATGTCATTAAAAAAGTTTTTGAAAAGAGGGTCATGAAAGACTGAAAGTAGCTTAATAACGTAGCGTGTGGTTGTGTTACTTCAAATGCAAATTTATACGCATATATATGTATAATATACTTGCAATAAAAACATGATTTGGTAAAAAAATTATTCATACACTAATTACTGAACCAATTTTTATTCTACCAAAGTTATGAGATCAATAAAAAGTATTCAAGTTTTTTCATTTGTTTACTGAGAATCTATATATAATAATTACAAAAAACTAATTTGTAAGAAAATACGAAATTCGGCAATGGTATATTAATTATCAGTCAACATATTACAAAAAGGTTTTTTTTTTAATTTAATATCCATATTAAATAAAGCATTGAAGTTCAATTGAAAAAAATACATAACTGATGTAAAACGTTTTTAGCTAACATTGTAATTCAAGAATTTGATATTGAATTATAGAAGACGTATCATATAACTTGCCGGACCTGTTTTAAAATTTGTGTTAATTACAACGGCACAAAAGAATGTTTATATTCTTCCTGAGGGACTACATTAAGAATAAAATTTTTTAAATTAAATTCACTTGAAACCACATAAATTACATAAACTATTTAGTACATATATATATGACATCTTCAACACAGAATTTTGTTAAATTTAACCAAAAAATTATTTAATTAGTAAGATAACAAATTCAGCAAATTGTAATGATACTTTTTGTTCGTATTGAGTTAAATCTAATCGAAAGTTTATTGTTATAATATTCACTGCTTACAACTTGCAGAAGTTCTAAATAATAATTGTTTTTAAAGCTTCTGTCACGTACGTATCCTACATCTACTAAATACGTAAAATCCTAAAACTGAATACAAAAATATTTAATAAAAGAATTAAACGGAGACAATACTTGAAAAAAAACCTGACCACATTCAAAATTTTTTTTTTAAGCTCCTTGATCATAATTAGAGGAGAAAAAACAATAAATTTTGATGGTTTTATTTAACAGGAACTATGTTTGCAGAGTATATATTTTAGTGATGTTTTTATTCTATATTTTAATTCACTAGAAGTATACTAGTATGAGTTGAAATAAGTAATAAGTATACTTACAATGTATTCATATCTATTAAACTACGGATAAAAAACAGATAGTTGCCTGCTGATTTCACGTATGGGTACAAAAATAAATTCATTTTGATGAAAAACTGTACTTGAACTTGTACAGATGCATATTTACTTTTTATAAAAAAATACGTAGACTTGTGAATTATGATATATTTCTTATATGTTACCAAAGTTAACAAATTTTACCATGTATCTAGTCCTCTACAAAACAGCTTTGCCCATTACATTAAATCTTATAACTGAATTTTTTTCAAACCATAAAATTAAAAATACGCTTATAATTTGCGGATACATCCAAAAACATGAATTAATCTACAATATTTATGTACATCTTTTCGTTTTAACTATTTGTTGAAATCACAACTAAATAAGAAGTTAATATTGGTAAATTAAGCAGTGATCTTATTACAAGGTGAGCACCTGTTGTTCATTGCTCGAAATGTATTAAACGGTGAGCTAAGAAATTCATTAAATAACTATTAGTGTCTTTGACTCTGGATATTCAGGGACATTTTCCAAAATCACCTCATTTAGAAGCATAAACTTTTTGTCAGTGTACTATAACACACGGGTTTGACTATTTGTCTCTAAAATAACGAAATTTTATGCCTTTCATACAAAATTATCTGCAATAAAGTTCACCCTTCAACGATAAGTTGAGTAAATCAAAAAAACAAGGGGGAAAAGTGTGATGTTACAAGTATAATTGCAAAATAATCCAACGCAATAAAATTTTCAGGTCAGTTTTATTAATAGTAAAATTTACTTTAATTACTTACTTAAAAAATGTTTTTAAATGGTACTGGTGTAAATATTATAGTCAGGGTGATTTTTTTAAATACTTCCTAATAATTTTGCAACAGAAAATACAACTGGTGTAAATGTTTTAGTCAGGTAAATTTTGTAACGTTTTTTTGAAATTATATTTCTGAATGCTGTTTTTTTTTATTTTGGAATTTTTGTCATCATTTGAAGGTGGTTCTAGCAATAAAAAAAATAATGATAATAATCACAAAATTTATTACTGATTAAATATATGAAAATAGTTATTTCAAATACATTCGGAAACGTTTTTTTGGAACACATTTGATGTTATTGTCCTTATTTTTCCGCAAAAATAATTTTAAATGTACAACACTTTTCGACCAGTAAGATGAAAGTTTGTGGTATTCAAATTTTTGTTTTATATATAGAAAAAAAATCTATTTGACGAGCATGTGAAGTATACAAATGCAAAAAGAAGTTAAAATTCATAGAAAAATTGGTATGCTACTAATCTTATTGGTAAAAACTATTTTAAAAAAATGTCAATTACATGTTTGATTAGTAAGTGCACATCAAATGTAAATTCTAGTTGTACAGAAAATTAAGCTACTCAATTTTTTTAATTATTATTTTTTAAAATCTCATACCGAAAAATAAGTAACTGAATTATAAATCATTAATTGAAAACAACGTCCAATGGTGGTACTGTCATATTTTTGTATTTATTAAAGACAAAAACAACGTTTCGGCCGTTTTGACAACGTCCCAGCCCTCATCAGGTACGAAAAGCTGACTACATAACTTTCGTTTGTCGTATATTATTGAAATTTGCATCGTAAAAAATCTATTTTTTATTACTCATGGCTTTTTGTACATGATGAGGGCCAGGATGTTGTACAAACGGCCGAAACGTTGTTTTTATTTTTAATACATACAAAATTATGAGAGCTCCACCATTTGACGTTGTTTTTAATCATCAACCAATTTTCATTGGAGGTCTTATTTAATTACTTATAAAGCACATAAATCCTAAAGAGATTACGTATATTCTACAATGAATTGCCATAAAATTATATACCAATCCCATTTGCGTATTAATACACGCATTTTTTCCAACAGCAATCTATTCAACAGCTACATAAACACCATTGTCTTAAAACGACAACAGTCCCGAGTGCTACAATGGGATTTCGGAACCTCTGCGAGATTTGTGGAAAGTTTTTCACAAACATGAGCTCTCACCATCTCACCCACGTGGGAGATCGTCCCCATCGCTGCCCATCATGCCCCCAAGCTTTCAGCAGAGCCACCAACCTAAGAGTGCACATGCGTGTTCACACGGGGATAACTCCCTATCGTTGTTCCACTTGCCAACGAGCTTTCAGCCATTCGAACAGTTTAACGAGACACATGCTCACTCACACGGGCGAGCGCCCCCACGAATGCCCCGTGTGCCAAAGATCTTTCAGCATGGCCAGTAATCTAACAAAACATCTAAGGATCCACGTGAAGGTGTTTTCTCATCACCCCTCGATCGAGCACCAATCCATCAGTTCGACCTCCTCCGATGAACTGTCCACGCGTGCCCCAATGAACAAGACAAAAACCCACCGCTGCTCCACGTGCGGAAAAACCTTTTCTCGAGCCCAGAATCTCGCGAGACACAAGCTCACCCACACGGGGTTGCTTCCATATCGCTGCTGCGTTTGCCAACGAGCTTTCGCCGACCCCAGCAATCTTGCAGTGCACATGCGCACCCACACGGGTGAGCGGCCCTACGGTTGTTCCATATGCCCCAAGTCCTTCGGCGCATCGGGCAATCTCACGACACACATGCGTAGCCACACGAGTGATCGTCCGTACAGTTGCTCGGTGTGTTGGGCCGGTTTCACCACCTTCGGCAATCTCGGAGCGCACGAGCGCACTCACGTGGGCATGATTCATGGTCACTGTCTCGTGTGCCAACGAGCTTTTGCCACGACTGGGGGTCTTTCGAGGCACATGGTCATCCACAGGGACGAGAAGCCCCACAAATACCTGGTATGCCGAAAAAGCTTCGGTCGGGGTTATCGGCTTAAGGGGCAAGTGCAGTCTCACGGGGACAATAAGGGAGCCACTTGATACAGGTGAGAGAAAACTTCTCGAGACTAAGTTGGCACTTAAGGACAAAAAGAAGGATAACTTGCTTATTTGTTGTTCTATGTGCATGTATGAAAAATTCGTATTTTTTTTTCTTTTCTTTTTTTTCAGACCAGCAGTAGTTTGATTTTGCAGTGATTTTAGTAATTTTATTTGTTTGATGTTGTTTACTAACTGTTGCGGAAAGAATTATAATTTAAATATGATTTAGTTATTGAGGGAGTTCATTCAACGGTATTTAAGTGTAGCATAGTACATTGACACCGAAGGTATTCAAGCGAGCGTTTATTGAGGCGAAAATTCAAAGGTTGTGAGCACGGCAATTCTTTCAATCGTTTAGTACCACATTTTTACTTATTTTTAAAGATAAGAGGATCACCGAAGCAACATAATACATTTGTGGACAGTAAATTAAAAATATGGATTCCTTTTTTCCATCTTAGGAAAGTCATTAATAGTCAAAGAAACCAAATAAATATTAAATATACATATGTAATGAATAACTAGCGAAAATAAACATACAGAGCGTGTAAAAATTTTTATGTGTGTATAAATATAATACCTATATGTATTGAAGTACTAATCACGACAAACGTTGAACATTTATTTTTTATTTTCACGAAGCACGTGAGGTCTAAGATAAAACTTGTCAAACTATTTCTTTAATAAAAATCTTACATCGATACAAAAGTAAATGTTAAGTATTGCTATCAAGGGTAAATAAGTCGACCAAATTAATAATGAGTTACGTTTTTACAGTTTCTTGGGTTGCTGATCACCAGTACCTCAATAGTCCCATGATATTCCTACATTCCAATATGCGCTTGAAATAAGATAAAATGATGAATCGACGGAGCATAAACCTCTAGGCTCGATGGAAACAAGGTACTACAGTAAGGAACATCTCTTCGAACCATAGTAATCACGATTTCTCACCGTACAACTACAAACTCGGTAAAAAAAATCCATCCATGCTCTCAATCAGTCTACGTGCAATGGAAACACGTAGTCAGCGATATTTAATAACAGCGCCTCGGGGGTAGCCATAAATTTTCAAAGGTCGAGGCGTGACAATAATCCCTCGGCCCGTAGTCAGTCGTTACGTGCACAAGTCGCGCAATACATTGTGTGGTGATGGACGTACCTTTCATTTTTGCCTCGGCAAGGTAGCGCCAATAGCAGGTCCGATTATTACTCGCTCGGCTCGCGAATTCAGCAAACGTGTCGTAACGAAAGTGCTGGCTAAGAGAAGCTGGAGGGAGGCAGGGGCATCTCCGTCAGGTTGGATCTCTGCGCCGTCTTCTTTTCATCTTCTCTGCTTCTCAGGACGATGGCGACTTTCGAAATTTCGAACGAACCCCAAATCCTCGAAATAGAAAGGAAGCTTGCATTTTGTTTTCCTCTTTTATAAGCTAGTGCCCTACATTTTTTTCTGCTTTTAACTATAGATTCTATCATTGTCTTATGATATTCTGGAATACTTATCAAAACTTTCCGTGAATATGCCAGAGGGTGCGTTAAAGACAGATGTTTTAATGCATACTTTTCTTTTGGCTTTTTCATTTTTCGATACATGATTAGTTTATTAAAATACATAATTTTTTGATTTTGTTCATTATAACTCTGTCCCTAAGAGATCGAAGTGAGGTGCTTGAAAAAGGAAAGTAAAAACTTCAATTCTCACATTTAAAAAGTCTTCAACGGTACCCAACATCAATACTTACCGACATTCAAAGCTTGACAGAAGAAAACACAATTAAAGTTTTGTTCGTCACGTATTGGAGAAGCTGAGGGTATCTCATTATTTTTCCTACATCCTGACATGTCACTTGACACGAGGGGCTCTGCTCATTCGTCGCCACTTGCAAACAGACTGAACCACTCAATACCAATCACTCAACGTTTTTTGGATTTTCATTGAAGGTACCGAGTTTCTACAAATCATAATCAAATTTTATCGATTCTCTAGTTGCTCAGCTCCATGATTTATTCAACAACAAGGACATCCGATATGCTTCACCCTATTCCTAATTATACATTTTTTATACTGTGCCAAAAGGCAGGCAAGAAAAAAATCTCGAGTGGTTCCAAAATCAAAGCGTGGGCTCATTTTTTTACCGAGTAATTAGATTTCATTAGTTGTTCCATAAAATTGAAGCTATTTATTTTGTAAGATACTTATGTAATTATATAACGCAGTGGTGCAATAAAAAAAAAAACGATTATTCTACCACAGTGAATCGTACTTGTAGCGCTCAAATCGTTAGTTCCGCACAATCTCCCGCGCAAAAAAGGCGAAACTGCTTATTCAAAAACCTCTCATTTATGCGTATATGAAATGTAACTGAGGCAGACGGTCAAACCGAGCATGCACTGAAAAGCTGCATAAAATTTCAAGGCTCTTGATCTCAAATTGCATAAGCCATCAGCAGCTCGAGGATACGTTGAGGTATGCGCAGCTACGTTGTCGATTAACGGGCGAGACACGCGATTCGACGGAAGCTAGTCCTGCTGGGAGCACCCACGTTAATGAATTTAAAAAAAAAAAGAAAAAAAAGAGACGTATACCGTGCGCATGTAGAAGCAAAGACGATTCCTGCTTATCGGGAAAGAAGCCGGTGAAATCGGCGCCAGGCAATTAACGGCGCGGCCATTTTTTGGCAGATACGCCGGCTGTTTCCGCATATACGCTTCTGTTATCCCGTAAGCCGATAGGCGTACCTTAATCCGCGTTTCACGAGCTGATAAGAGCGCGCGTGACCGCTAAAATATGGACGCAAGTATTTAGTGATTGATACGTCACCTCCGTGCCTTCGAGATGAACGATTACAGCTGTTGGCACATTAGCTACTCCAGGTCGGGTCCACTTCCTCGTTCTTCCTTTTACACGGGTGGGCAGGAAGTATGGCGATTACGACTCGTTTCCGAGATCTACATATTACTTATGTCAATAATAAATATCACATTTGAATTTCGTCAACGAGCGTGAAAACCTTTACGTAATTTACGCCCGTACGCGCACGTATACACACGGTGTGGGTATGTGGCAAAGATAATACAGCGTTAGAGGTATTAAGGAGTATTAAAAAATATGTGCTGACAATAATCACGCATATGCTCGAGAAAATAAATAAGCCATTGATAATACACGAGTAGTCCATAATTATTTTGCGTGTGAAAATACATACCTGTACTTACGCTTTTTACTTTCTTTCATATTCACCAAATGTCAAGTACTTATATCCAGTTATGCATATTACTGTATCTGGAAATAAAAAGACGTGTGAGCTTCTTCTTTGAAAAAAAAAGATTAAGCACTTTTGATTGAAGTCTTCATTACACTGCTCCGATTGGTCAGTCCAATGTTACTAACGCGATGATACTTCTTGAATTGAATGGGCTTATATGGGGAGACGGAAATTCAAGCAATTCAGCTATACCTACCGAGTTTGATACGCTATATATTGGCGAGATAACGAGAAACTCGGGTAGGAACTTGGTAATTAAACTGTCAACAATCACAAGCTTACTTAATCGAAAATTACTGCTTGCCGAGCAATGCAAACGAGAAATAGTCCACACGCACAGAAAAAAAAGATAATCGAGATAGCTCTTTGTACAACTCTCTAAATTTGAAATAATGAACAACCGCTATTTTAAAGTGAATATATTCATTATTTCAAAGAATTACAAGTATATAACTTTAAAATTGTGAATATTTACTTTACCAAATAGTGGAATCATATTCCCTATTTCAACCAGTGAGTATCATGCTTGTCCGTAACTTTACTCGGTATGACAATTTTCACACACAACATGTACAACATCCGTAACTCTCTTGAATCCTCGATTTGATCCTAAAATCTAAAACGAATATCTTGTATCACAATATACACTATACACCATATGCAAACTTAACATCGTATATTTATCAACAAACATCAAAATAGTTGTTAAAAGACACTCGCGAACAGGTTCCACCTTGCCCGTTCAGCGACACACATGCGACTGAGCTGTTTTGACTCGAAAAAAAGTGAATCAAGCGATTTTCACTTTAAAATAGTGAACTTCTATGACTTTTCACTTTTTTAAATAGTGCAAATATTTTTTCACTGAAAAATTAGTTTGTATTCCCTATTTTAAAAGTCAAGATCTCATTCATTTCCATAAATAGTGGAATTTTCACTATTTCAAATTTAGAGAGTAGATAGGATGGAATCAGCAATTAGTTGGAGGCAAGTTAGAAAATAAATTACATGTTATTTTCTTTGTGTGCTGTTATTTATTTTGTTGTTTAATAAATTGTACATTATTTTTAAATAAACAACACCAATCAATGAAAATAATGTATAATTTATTTTGTAACTTGCCACCAACTGATTGCTAATTCCATCCTATTTATATATTTCAAATAATAGAAGGTGCTGATTTATTCGATTGTGTTGATAGCTCTTTGTAAATTTAATGAACAATAATATGCATACGGTTTATTTTTGCAGCACTTCAGCACTTGATTGGGGAAGAGAGAGTGATACATCTTAGCTTTTCCGGATACTTATAACGTAGTAAAATAAAGCAGGTTGATAGCCGATGACCTCGATATTTCAGGATTATATCTTAAAGCACCAGCCAACAAATGTATTAAATTTCTACAAGGCAACTATTGACACTTTTTGTATTTGTAAAGCAAAATAGTATAAAAAGGACTTGTTTATTATTTTCATAAAGATCAGAATGAACAAAAATTTATTTATGATTGAATTAAGTATTGCGAGTTTACTTATTTACAGATATTACTAAACTATATGAGGGAACTGCAACAAAAGGTTATGATTAAAATATATTGGTTGAATGTAGAGAGAAGCTTTGCGTGCAATAGCGTTCGAGGGTTTGGTAGTACA